TCATGAACTTTTAAATTTGATGAAGATAACTGCTGAATCTTGTTTTCTACTTACTGTTACCTGACAAGATAAAACTTTGCTTTGTCTTGTTACTTTGCAGATCCCACAATGTAGTAGAGGCAGGCAAAACTTCAAAGTCTTGCTTCTGTCAACCCTTCAACAAAAGTAGACTTTCAAATGCTGTGTACGCTTAATCGTTCTGACTTCAATGCTGTCTTTTTTTTCTTCTTGCTGCATTGGTGAACCAGTGGGACATGGACTAATTATACTTTTCAGGGACAGTGGACAATGATTATGGATTGTTGGATATGTTCCACTGTTTCTAGGGGCTTCCACATAACTTGAATGTTTACTCTTTGCTCCAGCTTGCCAGGCTCTTCTCCTTGAAGCACAGCATTTTGTTTCATAGAGCTTTGGTTATCAAAAGGAGGAGTATAGCAAGGCTTTTGGTGAATGAACAGAGCTTTTGACCAGAGGCTTATTAGTGCTGCTGTTGCAAAAAGAACAATCTTAATATTAAATGGCTGAACCAGAGTATCCCCAAGAAGATGGTATGACGTAGAAGGATTTCCGAATTCTATAGAATTTTTAGGCCCAGTACCTTAATAGTAGTATTGTGTAACTTTGTGGTGAGTTGGGATGCTTCTTCATGTATTATCTGAAAAAGCAAAGGAATGAGTAATTCTGTTAAAATGAAGCTTAAAATGTATCATGAAACTTGGGCAGTACCATTTTCTGAATCAGCTCTGCAAGTCTGATCTATGTATGGAGTAGGTAGAGTAGAGAGGTGTTTTGAAATACGTGCTCTTTGGCATATCAAGTCCAAATTTCTCAAAGCATACATTGTTCTGAATTTTTGCTTCTTTTGAAAATTACTTCCTTGGGTTTTTTTTCCCCTCTAATAGTAAATTTGTACTAGAAAACTAAGAAGAAAACTTTGTGTTTAGTACAGCGACTGGTCGCTTAAAGCTTGGTTTTGTGCAGATTTATATGCCCTTTACTGCCTTTTTGCACTTCTTTTCCCCGTGTCCTGCAAGTAATGGCTGTGCAAGAGTCAGCACATGCTGTGAATAACTGTGTGCTAATTAGTTCCAGTGTCCTGCATAGGCAGCTGTCAGGCTAGACAGAACATAGAACTGAAGCTTATGTTAAAGTATTGGCAATTAAAGTTGCCAATCTGACTTTTCTACATTTCCACTATTTTTTTTTTGTTACAATTAATCTTTTAGTATCTCAAGTGCTGTCAAATTCAGATAGTGGGTTTAAAAGCTGTGATTAGTGAGGAATAATCAGGATACTAAAGACATAAATGCTGAGTGATCATTCCACACTGTAACTCAACAGCAAGATCTATGGCGTAAATTTCCTTGATCTTTATCATAAGAGTGACTTTTAAATAGCTTTGAAATAAAAAATGTGGTGGCCTGATCAGTAAAAATATTCACATTTCTCACAGCAAACTTTTCTTTGCACAAGATTCAGTACTGTTAGTGACTTTTAAGACTATGGAAAGAACTGTTTCAAAAACCAATTGTATGATGATGTGAGTTCTGTCTCTGACAATATTTTTTAATTTCCAATTTTGATTTTATCCTATAGTATTGCACAGCACACTACCATTTTCTTTTTTGTAGATAACTGAAAATTGTGTATTATGGCTTGCTTGAAGCTTAATCAATGCAGTATTGTGGATCCCTGTCAAGTCAGATGATAGTAACAAAAGTATAGCTAGAAAGAACATACAGGTCACCAGCAAACAAGGAAAGACAACGGGCCTTTTATTGTGTTCTGAATGCTTGCTTGCAGTGGCTGCTGATGTTCAAAGCATTGTGTTGTACTTCATACAGAAATAGACAAAACTGTGCCTTTTAACTTTCTTGTGTGATATTAAAGCTTTAAAATTTGGCTTTCTAAAGGACTTGTCTATATTTAAGACTTCTAAGAAATTGTACTTTCTCTGAGAACTCTTTAGGTAAAGAAACTTACGTGAGATTTAATTTGCATTTCTGGTGTGGTAAAGTAAATGTTTTAACCTGTGTTTGTATAGCTACTGCTGTCAAACTCTGTTAAAATGAGAACTTCTTGCTGAAGCATGTGCGACTAAGTCTAGGTTCTTTTGCTTGGTGGTTGTGTGTTGCCCATTAGTAATACTGTTCTTTCTGCTACCTCTAACAGAGAACCAATAAAGAGTGCCTGGCAGGTTTAATTAAATAAGTTATAATAGTGACTTAAGGCATATTTCAGTTGTTAATGCTTTTGTGTTAAGTATTTAGAAGAAATTAGTTGCTTCAGGAAACGCTTTTGGAACCCTGCTTTCTGAAGGTTTGCAAAAATTGCAATGCAAGAATTGACCCCTTTAAGAAGCTTGCACCATTTTAAACCAACAATGTGTTTGGACAGCACAGTCCTCCGCACACATGTTTCCATATTCATAGAACTGTTGTCTACTATAGCTGCATAGCTGGTAAATGATCCAAAGTCACATGGGATCTTGTTTTCTGATTCGTCCTAGAAATTGCCTGGAGTGATCAGGAAGGGTTGAGACTATTTGACATGGAGCTTTGTTTTGTTTGGGTGTTGGGCTGCGGATGGCGGCGGGGCCCCCCCCCCCCCCCCCCCGAATGCTTGTGCACTTCAGGGTGAAGAAGAAGCAGAAAACTGGGAGGGAGAAGGGTGAAAAACTGGATTGTGGCTTGACTGTTGCTGTGAGTTGATCTGAGTACAGGTTTCAGTGGTACTAGTGACATGGTAATTGTGATGAGTTTCTTTGATCTGACTTGTTTTGGGTGGTAGGACTGGAAGGGGGAGTAATTTAATGGCCTGATATGGGTGGGGAAGAGGACCTCCTCTTTCATTCAGTAGCACATCTTAGGCTGGATGCAAACTGATCATCATGGTACAGCCCTGAGTGTTACTCTGGTAGGTGCGGGATCAAGTAGGGGCTGTTCTAACACTTGTCTTTCTGTTCCTCTGAAGTTAGGCACAACTTTTTCATTTCTTCAGTGTTTCCTGATGTTCATCCCAATACTGAAGTTGCGGTGGGGAGGGCAGGGTGGAATGGGACTATGTAGATTCGGACACCACCAACTCCTGCTTCCAGGTGTTCTGTAACCTAGCCATAAACAGGACTTCTCTTCTTCCTAGAAATCATATGACTACTATTTGGTACAGTTATACTCACAAATCTAAGCATAGAAATACTACTGCTGGCCCACATCAGACTATCCACTGCAGATATTTAAAGCTATACCCATAAAATGTTCTGACTTTACTCTTGCTGACAAAATTTATAGTGCTAACGTGAAAGATTGCTGCTATTAAAATAGCACTTCATGCTATTGGCTATTATTTTAGAACAGACTTGTGATTTTTTTTTTTTACTAAGTTTATATCTTCTAACTTTGTATGAAGAACCATTAAATACCTTCAGTTTCATTTCATCTACTACCATAGTGCAAATAATGACTGTTTAAATTTGCAAACTCAAATCAATGCATTGAACTTAACCCTTTTGTGGAGTACAACTCCTGAATGAATGCTGAATAGCTGAGTTTATTTGAAGTAGGAACTACTGATCTTATTTTTAGATGAGTATTTAAATCACTAATTTAGAGCTATCCTTTGATCATTAGATCTGTTTCCCATTGTTGTTGTTTATCTCTATCCAGTAGATGACAATAAGGACTGTGGAGTGTTGAACATGCAAGCAGGCTATATAAAATTGAGACATCAAGTATGAAATACATACTTACGCTGTCTGTCTAATCTTGAGCAAGCTTTGAAATGACCTATAAGATTTATCACATTTGACAACTAGCATTCCTGAAGATGCTAAGTTGCTACAATTTTGGTGAAGTTAGCTGGCTGTGTAAAGAAGAAAACGTCTCTGGGGAAGATGAGGTAGTGGAAGTATCACAGCTTCTTCCTTGATTTGACAACTGTCAGGGCAATCGGTTTGTGCCGCTCTTGCTTGTCAGAGCATGTGCTTCCTCAGAAGGTCGTGGGGACAATGCTGAAAACCTGACACTATTGCAGGGATAGACGGCAACATTTGTAGGGGGCATGTAAGAGGGATGGTCAGGACTATTTTGGAAAGGGTGTGTGAAGAAAGAGTATGCGTCATAAAAACAAAGCTTTTTTGACTCCACTTCTCTGGAAGAAACTTGTTCTAAAATGGCAGAGTCTGTTTTTAGAGGGTAGCTAATGTTTGGTATATCATTTGGGTGCATATTCAGGTTATTTGCAGAGTAGTCTTAAGTGCCTAAAGAAAACATTTTAAGTGTGACAACTCCAGTGTCTTGTTTAGTTTTGAGAACAGTCACCTTTTCTCTTGTTTTGGTCAGGAATTGAAGCTGAACATGCTGAGAATTTTGCAATTGCTTCAACTTTTGCACACTCACAACTAAAATTAGAAAACTAAAGCAGAGCAATAGTACTTTTCCACCTTCTCTCATACCCTCCCTCAAATTAAACGTATAGGATACCATAGAAACTGCGTCATGGTAAGAAAGGCTGTTTAAAATAAAAGTTTCTATGGTCAAATAGTAATTAAAAGTATAAACACTAAACCTCAGATCCTTTAAAAGCTACCATCTGGGGCTTATGGCGTATGGAATCTGTTGAAACAGTTTAAACCCTGAAGTACAGGTATGGGAATGTGTAGAATTAGGTGAAGGAGAAGAGTCTTAAAGATCACAAGTAGAAATCAGGTGCTTTGCCCCTTCATAAGTACATACTACAAATACTTTGTAAAAGCAGTGTTTGGTGAAATTGGATGCTAAGATTTGCTTGCCCTGCTGTGACAGATGGTCTTTCAACATTAAGTATTTAGACCAGTACATGGTGCACCAGTCAGTTGTTAAAGCAGCTCAGTCTGGAACGAAAAATGTGCAGCCACACACTTTTTAATGGTTTGATGTATTAACAATTGTAAACTTAAATAGGTTTTGAATTAAGATATTTTCTCTGATTAATCTGTGGTATGTTTCTTTTTTTATAAGGTGTGCAAACAGATTTGGCTAGGCCTATTTGATGATAGATCATCAGCAATTCCAGACTTCAGGGATCCACAGAAAGTAAAGGAATTTCTACAGGAAAAATATGAAAAGAAAAGATGGTAAGATAGCTTTACAATTATAAAGATTGCCTCTATGAGGAGAAGTGAAGATGGACCGTTATCCTCATATTCTCGAGTGTGCTTTCCTTCTTGTGTGCTCTTTGGACTAGATTGCACAGTTCTGTAAAGTAAAATGATTTCTGGACTTTATTCAGAGCTCCTACAGGAAACAGAGAAGACAAACTATTTAAAGAAGTTTCTCAATGTGTAGTTCATATTGATGAAACAGAAATGGCTTAAGGGGATGTCAACAACAGTGTAAAGTAAGGGTTTTGCAGGCTTTTATTAGGAGGTGGAAGACGTGTGGTTTCTATTAAATAAGTGCTATAAAATATTGATGACTTGGAATTCCAGTCCATTTTTTAAAAAAATATCTGGCATATTTAAATAATGCCTGTTTTGCAAACTACTGGTAGAATTTGTTACAGGGTCAGTGGTTAAAATAGCAAAGCTGGGATCTACCAGTTCTCACACTTGAGTTTTATGAATGTTGAGCAGAAGTTTTCATGTTAAGCTTGTAAAAAACATTGCTCTTTTTTGAATGTAGGTATGTTCCTCCGGAGCAGGCAAAGGTGGTGGCATCAGTCCATGCATCCATATCGGGGTCTTCTGCTAGTAGTACAAGCAGCACACCTGAGGTGAAGCCACTCAAATCCCTCTTGGGAGAAGCTGCACCCACACTGCACTTAAACAAGGGCACACCTAGCCAAGTGAGTAATGACAGAGCTGAAGAGCACAGAGGAAAAGTACTGCTGAACAGTTCTTTTTTTAGTGGCACAAGAATAATATGATCACTAAAGACAACTTTATTTTATGTATTGAAGTATACAGGTGTTTGCAGATCAGGTTCTAAATTAAGCTTGTTTCTATTGACCAAATTAATTTTTTGTAATGGTTATTTTCAGTAAGCAGAATTTTCCAGTGTGATTGACAAGTTAATTCTGATTATCTTTTGCTTAAATATCTCTAAAGTTTGAACCTAATGTGATATATATTTTTGTGGTTGTTTTTTATTTGAAAACAATAAAATGGCTGATACTGTTAACAATGAGATGAGTAGTGAATATGTTGATGAAAAGCATGCATGTTCATTATTACTTGCTATGCATTCTGTAACTGTCTTTATCAAGTGGCTTTCAGGGAGTGTCTGTATGCTGCTATGTAAAGCCAAACAACACTATGTACTTAAATTTTGGAGGGAAGACAGTTTTTTGAAAACCTGTTATACCTTTAGGATACAGGCAACTCTCAAATATACCTCTTAAGACTCAAACAGTAGAAATTTGTGGCTTGCAGCCTTGTTATGAAATCCTTCACTTTTTCTCTCCCTATACTGAATTCTAAAGATTTTTTCAGAATGCAGTGAATAACTATTTTCCAACTTGTAAAATAAAGTTTTATTGCTTGTATTTGTACAGTATTTGCGGTTTTAAATACATAATTTTGAAGTTGCTTATATGCTGCTACTTTATTCTTCTAGGTCCTATTAATCCATAGAAATCTGCTGCAGAATTCCTTTAAAAGGCACCATAGTAGCATAAATAGATTGTCTTGCTCATACTATGGGGGGGAGGGTCTGTGCCATATACAGCATCTTAAACTTCAGGAATAAATGGCTTGTTAAAGAAATATTTCTAGTCTATCCTAGTATTTTGCAAAAATCAATTTGGTAAAATATCAGCTTTTATGTATTAGCTAACTGAAATGTTGTTTGTAGTCTCCTGTTGTAGTTCGATCTCAAGGACAGCAGCAACAAGAAAAGAAACAATTTGACCTCCTCAGTGACCTTGGCTCAGATATCTTTGCGGCTGCTCCTCCTCAGTCAACTGCTACAGCAAATTTTGCTAATTTTGCACACTTCAACAGTCATACAGGTAAGTATTCTGAGCAGTGTATCCCTTTTATACATTTAAAATCTAGTTTCAGTTTTTGGAGACTTTAGTCTAAACTTGTTCATGAGGTATATGTAATTTTTGTGCATTGAGAATGTTGTATTGCTCAAGATTTCCTTTAGATCTTTTTATAAAGAAAGGTTGAGGACATAAAGGCTGATAATCCTGCTTTTTGAAGTGGGAGTTGCTATAGCTATTTTCTATGATATGTATGATTAGACTGTTTCTGCCTACTACTAGAACTTTAAATTCTTCAGGGGAGAGAGAGTGAGAGGATGAGTAACAGAATGTAGGGAGAACCTGGTATTAGACATTCAGTTTTCTTTCTGAAAATTATTAGGAAGAGCATTCACGGAAAGAAAGCAGATATAGAGACTTTAAAGGAGTTCAAATGCATTGACAATAACTGTCAATTTTTTAAAAGAAAAACAAAGGCTTCCTCAGTTTAAAGAATGACCTCCTCTTTTGTGTGTGTATCTATTTGAAAACTGAATACTACCCATGTGAGTAGTATTCTGTAATTTCAGGAGGAATAAACAAGCTTTGAGCATATGTGTTGACTGAGGATGGGGGTAGGCTTTGAATTCTTAAAGAATTACTTCAGTAAAATATATTGAGCCCTCAGGGTTTATTTTCAGCCAAAGATCTTGAGCCATAGAAGTCTATCCTAAAGAAACAGTCGATTCTGTGGTCACTGAAGTATGTTGTTGCTAACTTGCATTGTAATTGTGGGAAAGTACCTTTGCCTGCCTTGTCTGAATGGGCTTTTCATCTAGTCTTTCTGAGAGAAACTGTGATGCTGCTAAGCCAACAAGAATGAGAGATTTCTTGCAAATCAGTCCTGAAATTGTTAACAGCTGAGAGGAAGTGTGATTGAGAGGACTTAAGGCATACCTGAGGAACTGAGCAAAGCATCAAGGCTTTCTGAAAGTTAACTTTCAAAAACAAATGTTGTGAAATAGTTGGCTGAATTCAGTAATACAGAATAAGAACTGCTGTTGCAGTGTATTTTGTAAAATCCTTAACATAAGATTTCATGTTAATCATCTCTTTGGAGGTATTTTTAACTAGGAGAACTTGTGCTAACTGGCCAGTGTTGTACAGCATTACTGAAGAGGCTGCGGGTATTTAATTCTTTCTGATAACTTATTCTTTCCAAACTTGTTGCTGAATGATTCTATATTTATATACACTTAATTACTCTTTGTGGGTTTCAGGAGATGAAAATTCCAGTAAAGCAATATTTCAATACTGTGTTCCAAATCTCAGTAAAATTCCACTGCATCTCTGCTGGGTGATTTTAAAAGGATAAAAAGCAGTATGAACGCTCCAGAATAAATGTAATCTTAAGGAAGACTCTGTTAATTTCTGGTTGAACTAAGTGCTGAAAATCAAAATTGAGATGAATACTCAGCTGTACTGACCAGTTTTCTGTTTCAATAATTAACCATTGTGGTCATTCCCATGATACCTTTCCACAAGTTTTAGAATTCAAAACAGTTTCAGGGCGGGTAAATCAGTTTTTAAGACAAAAATGTAGTTCTGAGCATGCGATAGCTGAATGTGTATTGCAGACTGATTTATCTAAAGGTGTTTTCTGACTTGCTAGAGTAAAAAACAGTTGTAAGGCTGTTCTGCCTGCAGTAACCACAGGGTAGTGTTAACTGAAACTAATAATGAAATGTTACAGACTCTTCCCTTCAGAACACAAGGAGGCTTGATCAGTCCGCCAGCTTTGGCAAAAAGGAGTTTTAAATACTCATTTAAGGAGCTGTATAAACATGTAATTTTTGCTAGTAATCACATGCTACAGCAGAGAATGGAAGAATTTGCACTTAGTCCAGCACTACTTTCTTGAAGTTTATGGTCCAGTGTTCTTGTTTTAGGGCTTGGTTTTCGCTATACCTACAGGGGATGGACTTTTCTCTTTTTTTTCACTCTGGTTAACTAAAGTCACTGAAGAGCACCAGCAAATTTAAGGTCTTCCAGTATAAGTAACTGTTTCTGCAGTTAAGGCACAACTCAGTGCAGCAGCTGATAGGAAAATATGGGTGGAAGTGTGGATCTGCTGGAGGGTACGTAGGCCCTGCAGAGGGACCTGGACAGGCTGGATCGTTGGGCCGGGGCCAACTGTATGAGGTTCAACAAGGCTCGGTGCCGGGTCCTGCACTTGGGTCACAACAACCCCATGCAACACTACAGGCTTGGGGAGGAGTGGCTGGAGAGCTGCCTG